CCATTCACGCTTTAGCGGGTTTTGGGCACTAAACCCGTTGTGTTTTTTCTCTACTCTTTTGCTCAAAGATTATTATTCCAAAGGAATTTAACAAAGTCTCTAGAAATTTTGATCTTCTGCAAAAGATTGTCATTAATCACTCTTCATATTTCAGTTTGATAAACGTTCACAAAACTGAAAGGGGGTAAATAGATCAGACCCTTATACAAGGGTAAAACTCAAGCAAAAGAGATCAAACTAAAATAGATTTTGACAATATAACCATATACAATACCAGATTTTCCCAAATTCTTAATAATTTTTCGTGGTAATTCAGTCACGACCATGTCAAAATCAACTGAACCCATATAAAATATACTATGATAGTATGATTACACCCAACCAAATGACAAAAAATGTATTTAAGAGGGAAAATAAGTTTATTTCTTCATTTAAACCATTTCGATTGAAGGTAAAAACAAAATTCCAAAACCCACTAAAATCCAAAACATATCCAAAATTCTCATTGAAAGTCAATGACTTTACCGAGTAAGCTGCGAGAATTATTGCAAAATCCCATGAGAGCACTGCTCACAAAAATCAAGTGACACTAACACCACAATGAATCTCGCCCTGACCCCAAATGCCATAATTCCCTCCATACAAGATGTACACAGACATATACAAGTACGACTAATTTTCACCATAGACTGAATATACAGGAATCTCACCCTCGAATGTGGTCCCTCAATTCATCATCAGAAATCTTGGTCCTTGCATAGCCAAAGATCACCGGGTTTGAGAATTGGGGGGAAGGGAACTACAACGTTGGCCATTTTTTTCGATATTAAAAGACTTTTGTTGGGCTTGGGTTAACAAATGGTTGTTTTCAATGTTAAAAATTAAGGGTCCGCCCCTAAGAGAGAAGTGTTATATATAAGTGGTAATTACACAAAACCCTTCTTTTCAACTTCACTTTTTCAAAACCAGATGGGAAGTTTCACTTTTCAAAAATTAGATATTTCAATTTTAAATATTAAATAGATAACTATTTCCAAGTTCCTCCTGTTCCCACCATAAAATCCCCAATTTTTCACTAAATCCCTCACCCCCTCCCCTCATCCCGTATCTTGCTCTCCCCATCATGCTGGTGCCGCCGTTGCCGGCGACCTTTCTCCACTGTGCTGCTGCCGCCAGTGAATTTTCCTCTCCTCTCCCTCCCCTTCTGCTGCCGGATTTTTTGATGCTGCTGCTGCTGGCGTCACAGCAGCGTCGCGATGCTGCTGCCCGAATTCGCATCAGCGTCGCGATGCCGCCCAGGTTTTTGTCCCCGAAGAGCGTTGTCGCCATAGCCTCTGAGAAAGCGGCCACTGGTCTGTGTGCTCTGTGTGGAGGTGGGTATGATTCGTGTGGACGCGGGCGTGATCTGCTTGGAGGGGTGGCCACGCTGTGGTGGTGATGGTGGTTGTGGGGTGTTGGAAGTTTTGTATCTATTTTTTTGGTGTGGTCGTCGTGGTTTCTAGCTGCGGTGGAGGTGGGTGATGGTGGTGGATCTTGTGATTGCGTGGGTGCCGTTGGTGTAGTGGTGGCGGTGGACGGTAGTGGTGATGCTGTTAAATACAGCGTTGAACTGGTGGCACAACTGTTGACGGTAATCATAG